CTCGGGAGGCTGAGGCAGGAGAATCACTTGAACCCGGGAGGCAGAGGTTGTGGTGAGCCAAGATTGCACCACTGCACTCCAGCCTGGTGACACAGCGAGATTCTGTCTCAAAAAAAAAAAAAAACAAAAACCCTGAGGCTCAGAGAGGTGAAGTCAGTTACTCAAGGTCACACAGCCCTGCCCAACCAGGATGGGAACCAAAGGTTATCTGACCCGAAGTTTGTGTGCTCAGACAGCATGCCTACTGCATGCCGGGTACCAGGAGGGGACAACTGGAGGTGAATCAGACCTCGTCCCTGCCCCTCGGGTGAGATAACGCCTGGCGGGCTGCAAATCTAACCTGTAATTCTGTGTGATAACAGCCACTCCCTTTTGAATCAGCTGGTGTCTCCTGACAATGTCCTGTGTCTTCCTCAGCCTTGTGGGACAGACAGAATCAAGCCCTGTTGAATTTGGGTCCCCATCTTTTTTTTTTTTTTTGAGATGGAATCTCACTGTGTCATCCAGGCTGGAGTGCAGTGCCGCAATCTCAGCTCACTGTAACGTCCACCACCTGGGTTCAAGTGATTCTCCTGCCTCAGCCTCCAGAGCAGCTGGGATTACAGGTGCACGCCACCAGGCCCAGCTAATTTTTGTATTTTTAATAGAGACGGGGTTTCACCATGTTGGCCAGGCTGGTCTTGAACTTCTAACCTCAGATGATCCTCCTGCCTCGGCCTCCCAAAGTGCTGGGAATACAGGCGTGAGCCACCATGCCTGGCTGGGTTCCTGTCTTATAGCAGAGGGGAGACTGAACCACTAGTGAGGGCTGCCTCCTTCAACCCAGGCCGTGGGGACTCCAAGCTCTGGCAAAAGTCCTACGAATGTTGAGATGAAGCATGGGAGACTTGGTGGAGGAGGTGGTTAGAGGCTGGAAGCTCAGGACTCCTCCCATCTCACACTCTCCCTGTTTCCGTCCCCAACTGCCCTGGTCAGAAATGTGGAGTCCAGGAGGAACGACCTATGCTGAGAAACAGGCTGACCCGGTGCACGTGCCCCCACGATGCAATCTCACCGTGAAAGACCTCCTCCTTTCGGGCAGCAGCGGGGACCTGGTGAGCACCCCCACACCCTCCCACGGGGCGTTGGATCTGGGAAGGCTGCTCAGGTCCGAGGAACCTAAATATCCCCATTTCAGAGACTGGAAAACTGAGTCACAGAAAGGCATGGAATTTGCCCACAGTTAGAGAACATTCCAGTCCTGGGTTCACTGTCGCCTGGGCTGGGGCGTCTTCCTCTGTAGTATTTAGCAGTAACAACAGCAACAACAAAAAAAGCTAAAACTGGTCGAGTGTGGTGGTTCACACCTATAATCCCAGCACTTTGGGAGGCCAAGGCAGGCAGATCGCTTGAGCTCAGGAGTTTGAGATCAGCCTGGGCAACATGGTGAAACCCCATCTATAGAAAAAATACAAAAATGAGCCTGGCATGGTGGCACATGCCTGTGGTCCCAGCTACTTGGGAGGCAGAGGTGGGAGGATCGCTTGAGCCCAGGAGGTCAAAGCTGCAGCGAGCTGTGATTGCACCACTGCACTCCAGCCTGGCCAACAGAGCAAGACTGTCTCAACAACGACAACAAAAGGAACAAAGCTAAAACTGAGGATGCACCTGCTATATGCCAAGCACTCTTCTAAATGCTTTATTTATCATCTTAAAATTTTTTTTTTGGCCGGGCGCGGTGGCTCAAGCCTGTAATCCCAGCACTTTGGGAGGCCGAGACGGGTGGATCACGAGGTCAGGAGATCGAGACC